CCTAGTTTACAAAATTACACAATGACTTTTCCTTTCTTTCCATCTTTCTTTTTGAGTTTCTTGCAAAGAACACACGCTCCTTTTGTGATAAGGAGGAAAAAACCCTGATTTTTCAAGAGAAAATAAAAGCCATGTTGGTTTACTTTTCTCTATAAAAGAAAGGATTGAAGGGCCAGCACAATAACTCAGCAGACTAAGCGCAAGCTTAGGCGAGCACAAGGACTGGGGTTCGATCCCTGGCACCACATGCCGCACTGGCCCCACTCCCAGGCACACTGAGCAGGCCACTGAGACCGGATGTGATGAAGCACAACTGTAATCCCAGTGCGAGGGAGACTGAAAACAGGAGGATCACTGTGACTCTGAGCTCCGTGGTGAGACCCTGTACCAAATACGTTCTTTAAGAAAGTCTCATAAAAGAAGGAGTTGTGATTTCCTTTTCTATAGCCCCCATCACGTCTGACATACAATCTCTGGAAATAAAGCCCTGGTCTGGACCAGAACTCTACCCTCGCGCTCTTATTTAATCTTCCAGGCCCAAGTGTTGTGTGTGGAGTTTCAATGGCCCCAGAGCATAAGTAAAGGAGGTGAATAGGGGTGGGGTACCTCTGAGGCTGGTGGGCATTAAGATGTCAGAAAATGACCCCAAGGCGAGGAAATGGGATCTGGAATTCAGCCAAGGACAGTGCATTAGGAGGCAATTACCTGGGGCCCATGTGCTGGGGATGCCCAGACGGAGCCCAGCAGCATAGCGAGGCTACTCTAGCATCTGGGAGCACTCTTCAGCTTGAGCTTAAGAACTTCTGACGAGAGGCTTAAGTGCAGTTGGATCTTAATATGATCAGCACCACTCACAGGCAATTTTCATTGTGTCCTCCGTAAAGCCTCTGCACCCTCCACCCCCAGCCTTGCCAGCTGCTGCATCAGGAGCCTGCTGGTGGGGAGGGGCAGGGTCTTGGGGCGCCCACCAGCCACAGAAGGACTCCTTTCCTTGTGCAGCTTTGAGGGTCAGCAGGGAGTGCCAAATGGGACACTTAAAAGAATTACATTACTAAGAATATTAGTGTCAGGCACAGGACACGCCTGATGTCAATCTTTGCACAACCCTAAGAGGAGGCTGCGTCCACCTCTATCTCGTGGCTGAGGCAACTGAGGCTCAGAGGCTGCCTGACGGTCGGGGTGACTCAGGAAGGACACAGCCCAGCTCTTTCTACCTCCCTCCAACATGGGCTCCACCGGCAGCTAGAGGAAGGTGGCGTCAACACTGCTCCCTAACCCCTCTAGCAGGCAGCACTGGGGGGCGGAGCTCCAGGTGTGCGACATTCCACAGGACCATGCTGCCCCACGCTCTAACAGGGAGCCTTGCCGAGTTTCCAGCCAGCTGGCTGGTGGTGTGGACCTACAATACCAATCCCCGGAGGGCGCCCCCCACAGACACCAGGTCGTCCTGCGCTGCCTGTGCTCCAAGTGCCCTCTCGTGACCACGACATTCCAGCAGCAGAACACCTGCCCTGGGCCTTTGAGGTGGCTCTGAGCCCCGGCTGCCTTATCCCTTGGGTGGCCTAGGGACGCTGCGCACCTGACCAGTTTTTGCATCTGTTGGGTGGGGGAGGATCCCTAGCCCGCAGCCTGGCGCTTTGGAGGCCCATGGCCCTGAGCAAGGGTTCCTGGGGCTGGCTCTGGGGCAGGAAGGGGAGCCTGAGGCAGGAGCCACACATTTCCACCCACCCTCCTGGGTTTCGCCTCAGCTGCTCTCATTCACTCTTGGCCCGGTGAACATAGGCTAACGGGGTGTGGGCGAGGGGCGGTGCTGGGAGAAATGGGGGGGCTAAACCCTTGAACACTGTTGGAGGAAGCCCTCGGGAAAGGGCACAAGGAGCCCTCAGGTGAGGGCCTCCTCTTCTCTGCCTGGGTGGCCCCAGCAGTTTGCTTAGGAAACCGCGGGTACCCTTCATCCGGCCACCCACAGACTCCCTTCGGGTGGGCGGGGAGGATCAAGCCCTTGACCCTGGACCGCCTTGGGAGAGCGGTTTCCCTTCCTGCATGATCCCATTGGCCTCTCGCAGTCCTGAGCTGGAGTCCCGGTGTCCGCCCGGGACGGTGGTCCTGTCTCATTAGAGGCTACAGAAGCGTTCCTGGGGTGCTAGGGGCTAGGGATTGGGAGGTGTCTTCCTGCCGAGACTCTTGGAATGAGGGGTGAGGCAGCACTTGCTGTACGCGTTGGGACCCTCAGGCACCGCGGGCGCTCGCTCGTCACAGCGCCGCCCACAGCCTTCCTGCAGTGGGCGTCTAACCGCACCCCGGTCACGCGGCCTCCCACTTCCGCTGCTTCCCTGAAAGGGCCTGGCTTGCTCAGCCCTTCCACCCCGGAGGCCGCAGCCACTTCTGATGCCAGCCACGGAGGAAGCACACTCCCAGACCACGCTGATTCCCACAGCATGGTCGCTGGATCCCAGGATCCCGTAAATCCTCTAGGTGCCTCAGTTTCCTCATGCATTTAGGAAGAACCCATGGAGGGCTTTTAGGGATGACTCAGGTTCTGAGGCAAGGTCCCTAAACTAGCCACTTACGGACCTCCCTCCTTCACTATCCACCATCCTCTATGGGACATGAGGATGTCTGTCCAGAGCCAAAGTGGGTTCCAGCTAGGGCCCTGCAGGAGCAGTGACACGACACATGCAGGGACCATCCCAGTGACAAGGAAGTGTGGCATCCCAGGTCCCATGAGGACAGTGATGTAGAGATGTGCTCACCATGATGTCGATCTCTCTCTCTCTCTCTCTCTCTCTCTCTCTCTCTCTCTCACACACACACACACACTTCTGACACTGCCCACCACCAGCTTTGCAACTCTTGGGGCTCTGGCCACAGGCTGGAGAAAGCTTTCGTAACATGAGGCACACAGCTTGTACAGAGCTGGAACAATCACCATCAGACTGTGTTCCACCCTAATAGACATCAAGGCCACTTTCCCACTGATCCCCACTCAGGAATCACATCCAAGCACAGATTCCAGTAGCACGAATCTGACAGGGGTCTCATAAGGGGCTTCTTCCTGGAGAAAAATGGGAGGCGGAGGACAGGGCAGTGGTACACTAGTCCCTGGGAAGGGAACATGTAGGTGGAATCATGTATAAGTAAAGATTTAAACAAACAGATTGCATCACTATGGAAACGCTCTGCTCTTTCAAAGACACCGTTAAGAAAAATAAAATAATCAAGACTTCAGATTCAACACTACAAGTGTTTATGACCAGAAAAGGCAAAGTGGGTCTTAGATATTCTGCAGCCAAGGAAGAGCTGCCAAAAGTCATGGAAGAAGTATTCCCAGCAGAGCAGGAACATGTCACTTGTCAGGACTCTGAAAACCCCCAAAGGGAGCATTCCATTCACTGTGGCCACCTTAACTCTTTCGGGGTGGCCATGACACTTTGGGGGCCCATGCCAGTAATCGAATGGGACAGACCTGCCGGAATCAAGGCAGGGTTGCGGCAGCCTCTCAGGCCGTGAGATGGGTACCCCGAGATTCATTTGCTGCGACTTAGAGTAAATCAGCAGCAGAACTACTGGTGTAGTCTGTGTGGATCAGAGTCGGACCCCATCTCAGCTGGGGAGTCAGTCTGCTGCTAGGTGGCATGCTCAGGCCCAAGCTTGAGGGACGCTGTCTGCAGTGGAGATGTGTGGAGCTTAAAGCCTGACCTGCTTCTCTGGGTTATCAGCTGGAGCTGTGGTCATGTAAGTGTCATAAAGAGCCTCCTGCAGTATGGGAACCTTAGGGTCCCCAGATACACTCAGCCAGGGTGGGGGAGGGGTCACAAGGCAACCTTTACCTACCTGTTGCCAGGAAAGTTGACTAAGGAAGGATTTTTCTAAATTCACCAGATTTCACCCCAAAATGTTTCCCCAATTAAATGAGCAGTTGCTAGCCCAGCTGGCAGCAGTTTGTGACTGGAAGAAGCTAATGCTGATTAAGCAGAGATGCAGACACCTGTCCTGACACAGGACAATGCAGGCGACACACAGGTGGCATGGAGCTGGTGGTGGGCAGCTCTAAAGGAGCAGGCCTGAGGAGCCACACATTTGGGGGTTCACCTGTTTTCTGAATTCTGGCCCTGCTAAACTACTTAATTTCCTGATAACTTTTCTTCATCTCTACAGTGGGAACAGGCTCGCTCTTGTCCTGCTCTGGAAAGGATCAGGAACTATGCACACAAACTCCCAGGACAGTGCTTAAAAAGAAAAAAGCAGCTGACACCCCTGAACCTGTTTTGCTTCAGGCTACAGCCGTTTGCCTCCTCTGCTTTACACGGAACATCAGCAGAAACAGCTTTCCCCAGTTCCAGGGGAGCACGGGGCTCCAGGCACTCAGCTGCAGGCTGGGGTGATCTGCTGAGCGTGACTGTCCTATGCCACAGCCTGGAGATCCTGCCAACTCCTAAACTTGGCAGTTTTCTTCTGAGGAAGCCGCTTCCTTGGCAGCCCATCTCAGGAGGGACATTATCCCAGCGCTGGAAATCAGTAGCAGTCCACAGCAACCGCGAACAGCAAGGCTCGGATGTGCTGCTAATGCTCAGAAGGTGGTGGCCCGACCTGTCTGTTGCAGAGGACAGAGGTGCACCACAAGTGAAGAGAGCAAATGTGGGGCTGCACCAGGGGAGATCGTGACCCTACGTTAGGACCCCCACATTAGGGGCATGCTAGAAGACTTGGACCATCTGCCAGTTCTTCCAGCTGGTAAGAATGGAAGAGGAATTTCCCAGTGTCTGGGCCACAGACCCCAAACCAGAGCTAGCTGCACCACCCTGGCCAGGTTTTACTGGCATTATAGGAGAACAGTTAAGGCACCAACAGAGGTGACTTGATGTTCATGGACATTGACACCTTTTTCCCTGGTAGGCTCGGTATGATGCTCAAAGTGTATAAAGCACTGAGTATGTTTCACAGACAGTCTGACTAGGCATGGTGCTACAGCCCAGCTCCAGCTCCAAGTAACAGCACCCCACTGCTGGTACTTCACAATTGGGATCACTGGTTCTACATCAATGAAAGGAAGCAGGATGAAAAGCAAGAGGGTGCTGTGTGTTTTCCCCAGAGGCAGAGAGAAACTCTAACTCCTCTGCCCTACTTTCATCTATTAAGTTTATTTGAACAACAGTGTGTTTACCTGGCACACTGCTCCTGAGGCAAGAGGTCAAGGAGACACGTGCTTCTATGATGCAAGAAGGGGCAGCCACTCTGTTCTGTTTTGGGAACCCTGGTGACATCACAGGGTAACCTTTGCACTTTGGAGATTGCAAGGGAACACTGAGTCACAAAAAGCCTTGGTCACGGGGCTGCTGGATCAAAGGTAGGGGGAGATGAGCTCATTCTGTCTATTCCCTGGAGGTCGGCCTCACTCCTATCTGCTGGCTTTGAGTGACTCAAGCGATGCCCCGGGGGTGGGGAGAGCAATCTGTGGAACAGCTGCCACTAACTGGGCAGCAACTGCCAGCATCACAGCCTACTTCTCCTGCCTCTTCGGCTCTTTTTCCTTCCCTGAGGTGACCATATTTTCTGGTATTACAGGCATCCAGGTGACTACCCCAGGTGAGGATTATAGCACCCTGCCTCTACCCTTCATGTGGAGGATCATCCCCAACTTGTCCCAGGAAGACGGTTAGACTGTGTCCCCTGAGTATACAGCTTTCCATTACATATCACACAGGCCGTGAAGTGACAGTGCCAAGACAACAGCAAAGCTCCGAAGCCACCTCTGTTTGGGTTTCTGCAGCTGTCTGCCTACGGAAGGCTCTAGGGCTGCTGACAAGTATTTATATCTCCGCTCCACAGACGTCACAAGAAGCAAACACGTGCAGACTTTCTCCAGAGACATGAGGCTGTTCGCATTCCTTCAGATTGCAGGGGGAGGGCAGCAGACAAACAGATTATGGCCAAATCACCTGAGGGCACAGCCACAGTGTTTTTTAATTTGCCTAAAGATAATGCACAATTTTGAGATGTGATTTGGAACAATTGCTCCCACAGTGGGCATATAACGACTAACTGCTGGGCCTCTCATTTAATGGGACAGTGAGCTGGGAGGCAGATGCCACTGTCTTCCAAACAGCTGCATCATGGGATAAACTGCAGCAGCCTGCCGGAGCGTCTTCTAGCTGAAGGGCCGGAGGCTTACAGGCTCAGCCACTGCGCTTGATGGCTTCTCCACAGTGCTCAGGTCAGCAGGGTGCCCCTCTGGGGTCCGGATGAATGGTGCGAAAGGTCAGGTTTACTCGGGGTCCTCTGGAGTGGTACTCTTTGGGCACCTGATGCTAAACAGAAATAAAAATAACTCTTGGGCATAGACACACATTTCAAATTCAAAGCAATTTTCAACTTACGAGGATATAGAAATATTTCCATTTTATCCCGGTCTCAAACTCTTACAAGTTGTATGAAGAATGCCACCCTTCTGTCCAGCTCCCAGCCAACCCCACTGGGCTATGCCAGTTCCCTTACAACGAGAAACTCTCATCTTTCCTAACGGCTGGTCCTCTTCTCACATTCCTGCCATTTTTCCAAATCTCATTAAAAAAAAAAAAAAAAAAAAAAATGGAGCCGGCCAAAGAGTCATGAGATTCCACTCTCTTACTACGTATTTGCACAGTAACACATAACTTAAGAACGAACTGGCCTAAAAAGGGCCTGGCCCAGCTGTGGAGCTGTGCAGTTGAACATGACAGTTTCTAGCTACTGGAAGTTACTGGAATTTAAATGCATTAAATCTATGCTGTTCTTTAACATACTTGTCACATTGTAAGTGGCCAACAGCCACTGTGGCCAGAGGCTAGGACAGTGGGCAGCACAGGTACAGAACATGTCCATCAAGCTGTACCAGGACCTGCTGCTGCAGGGGCCCAAGGGGCCTCCCAGTAGCGGCAAAGCACCCACCTTGGAGGTGATGCCTGGGACAGGACGTCCATGGACCGGCTCTTGCCCCTTATAATAGCAACTGGTTTCTGACCACATGTTCACATGAAATCAACCCATCAGCCAGCCTGGAAGGCCCCAGGTGCACCCTCACCTGCCAGTCAGCTTGTGTAGCTCCTTCCATGATCAACAGGGCCCCGTGAGCCAAGGGTATCTTGACTCTTTCCACATAGGTGTAGTCTCCATTCTCTTCCTAGAAAATAGCATTCATGGCGCTGAACTTTTGGCTCGTATGAGCAATAGCGACAGAACCAGACAGTGATAAAACAAACAAAAGCCAGATTGTGTGGGGGTTCAGGCCCCGGCTCTGTCACTTGGCAGCTGCTGGGCCTTAGGTAAGTGATTGCACTTCTCTGTGCCTCAGTTTGCTCATTTGTAACCTCAGGATGACATTGGTCACGCAGAGTGCCATGAGCCTCCACTGAGGTACCACCTGTAAGCCCTGCAGCCTGGCGTGCAGGGATACAGTGAGAGTTAGTGGTTAGTGTCATTGTCATCAGAAACGCACAAATGCCTGATCTGGCCGAGGGAAGATGGGAAATCATTTGTACAAGAATCACTTCATGCTGTCGGATGTGCACCCTTGGGGAAAACAGCCTTCTCACCAAGACGCAGTGGGGCGAGTGCTGCGCCTCTTTTCACATTCAAGTTAATGCTCAAACTGGCACCTAAGTTAAAACCAGTCAGAGCTCTTCCCAGGGCTACTGTAGTGTCTTGGAGATACATTCCTGCCTCTTTCCAGAACACAAAACAGCAAGACCTTCTCTAAGAGGCATTGCTCTGGCCTGAGCAGAGCACAGCACAGCAGCGGCAGGGGAAGCCAGGCTGCATGGGCTTGCAGCCTGGATCACAGCTCCTGAGCAGTTAGAGCGCGCTTCCCCTTCCTGTGGGGAGCGCAAAATCAATTCACATCCAGTGCTGTCAAGTGAGTCTTCTCAGCACAGCCTGCAAAACAGTCAGCAGGTGCTGTTACTCCTGCTTCACAGCTGACGGAGGGGATGCGGACAATTCAGGTCTTCCTTGCTGGTGGCAATGAAGGCACCTCAAGGCTGAGAACAGGGCAGAGCAGCTTCCCCATGTCTTCGCCTTTGCGCTGCCAGCGCTGCTGGGCCCAGCTGTGCACGTGCTTTACCTCTAAGGCAGAGGTTATGTGGGGTCACTGCAGGACGGATTTCAGGGCACTGCTGCGGCCATGTTGATTACTAGATGGGTGCTTCTAAGAATTTAACTGTTTACAAGTATTTCCCACAGGAAAAGCAAAATCAAAACAAGAAGGAACTAGCATAAACAGCCTAAGTTCCAGGGCCCAACACTTGGCAATGACTTTTGCAGGGATAGTCATAAGTTTTACAGGCAGAAGATAGAAGCAATATTTGAATAACTTCTGGTTTTAGTGATGGATTTTAATTGTCTGTCACTTTCTTCCCACGAAGCAAGGACTCACACACTGACTGGATGGCTCAGCCAACCAGAGAGCAATGGGAGGTGACTCTGCCCAGCTCTGGACGCCCTGCTCCATCCTAGACGGCTCTCTGGGAGAAGCAAGCCAGACAGAAGACCTGAACATCTTACTGAAGAGAAGATAACAGAAGGGAGTGCAGCGCCCACAAGATTAGAGGGGCCACAGCTCCTTAATTTGAGCTGTGCAAGGTTCAGCTTAGCTAGAAGCAGAATTTCTGCTACCCTCCACATAATCAGAGAGGGTAAGACAGCCTGAACCCATAAATTAAGTACTGATGCTCGACAGGAGAGTAAAGTAAAACACAGAGGAAAGACACTTAACCACAACTTGAGAACAGTTCTGAGGGGAAGATCTCTGAGGACATCAAAACACCATTGAGGAGGAGCAGTGCAGAAGTGAGCCCTGTAATTGCACCTGGAAATACTAAGCGGGAATGCTCCTCAAAAGTGAACGAGAATTCCAAACGAAAGGGAGAGATGTCAGCAGCGATGGCAAAGTATGACAGATGTACACTCCACCCAACTCGAAGACTTGGCTTGTTCAAGTGAAAGAAAGCCTTGGGTGGTTAGAACACCTTCCCTCCAGCTTACCCACCAGCCACACCTGAAAGGGCACCACACGCACCGGTGGTGCGTGACAGCGGCAGGAAGTATGCCCCCCGGAGAGGGGGTGGCGTTCCTCTGCACTTCATTCAGTCCTTCCCACACTCTTGGCTTAGGAAGTGCATTCCTAATTTGCAGGAGATGGGCAGGAAAGAGGTCAAGGGATCTACTGGTGCCACAGAGCTCACAAGCGTGACGTTCTTTGAGGCCAAGAGTGGCAACAGAGCGTAGTGCCACCCTTCGACTTGACCTTTTCTACCTAAGAAGCAGATGAGAGGCCAGGAACCATGTGGCTTGTACACAGGCATGGCTGATAGAAGGATAAGCAACAGTGGCAGCACGGGCCAGTCTGTTTAGAGGAGCCATCCACAGTCATCAAGCATGGGTAGGTTACCAAAACAGTCTCTGAAACTTCGCATTTACTCCAGACTTTCTTCCAAACAAAACATACTCCCCAAAACCACTACTTAGAGAAAAATTTTCCATCCGTGATACTAGTTGCAAGTAGCTGGTAGGGTCACAATCAATCCATAGGGTGGGCTTTGTTGCTGATGTTCTTGGTTTTCCACACACTTCAAAGCTTACCAGTAGATCAAAAAAGCAAAAAGTACGTGCTTTTATGTTAGCAGAGATCAACATTTTCACTCCTTCTCTAATCACAGCCCATTTATGTGGATGTTTAATTATGCTTCTCTATGGAAAGCTGGAGATGTCCTGAGACTCTCACCTCCACCTCACCAAGATATTGTCCTGCTCGGTTTCCTTTATGAAAATGTATTTAAGGGGCTGGTGAGATGGCTCAGTGGTCTAAAGCACCTACTTAGAACAAGCTTAGCAAAACACAGGGACCGCGGTTCTAATCCTCCAGCACCACATGCCGGCCAGCCACGCCCCCTGGTGGGCTAAGCTGGCCACACACACACACACACACACACACACACACACACACACACAAATAAAATAAATAAAAAGAAAAAGAAAAAGTATTTAAGAGGGGTTGGGGAAATAGTTCAGTGGTCTAAGCACCTGCCTGGCAAACCCAAGGACCTGAGTTTGATCCCCGGCATTGCTTGCTGTGCTGGGCCTAGAACTCCAGGCACACTGTACCAGCCCTGAAACCAGGCATGGTGGTGCATGCCTATGATCCCAGCACTGGGGAGGCTTAGACAGGAGGATCACTACAAACTGGGTAGTGAGACCCTGAGAGAGAGAGAGAGACAGACAAGACAGACAGACAGACAGACAGACAGACAGAGACAGAGACAGAGACGGTGACAGACAGAAAAGAAAGAATTAATTTAGGGAAAAATATCTAGGCACAGTTATTGTTATATTAGTAACCTTCAATGGAGGGTTTCTCCTTTTTACTAGAAATAAATTCTCCTAAGAAAGCTTCCTAAGTGTTTTCCTTTTTATTAGAAGGAATTCATTTGTATGAAATTCAGATTTCTCATGTGAACACCCCTTTCTTGTCCTGTCATTATCTTAGAAATTAAAATCAACTCTGGACTTACAATCATTGCTACAGTTTTTCTTTCTGGAATGCAGTAACACAAACTGGCTAGTGTGAAAGACGGCATGCAATGACGTGCTCGGTGTCTGCCTTCCTGCACCGGGAGGGAAGGGCGGTGCGGCTCTGCGGAGATGCTCCAGGCTCCTGCGCATGTCAGTATTCAGGGTTCACACAACACCCAGAATATTCTACACATACAATCGTGTACTCTGCCTTTTAACATGGTGAGCATTTTCTACAACTTTAAATGTTACATAATATTGCTTTGTGCAAACATGTCCTTTCTTTTCTAAACTCACAATTACTTTTGACCACCTACGTACATCAAGCGCTGCACTAGGGTTAAGTACACAGCCGTATGGAACTCACTGGAGACTGAGAGTTTAGCAGACTAGTATGATTTTTTAAAAAAGGAAAAAACAAATTACTATGAGTAAATGTGAAGTAAAATCTACCTCTTAATATATACCTAGGATATATTCCTGAAAGTGGAATTGCTGAGCCTAAGGGTATTAACTTTAAGGCACTGATTTACACAGTCAAACTGCTATTTTAGGAAGACTGTAGTGGTTTATGATTCCATCAGGAAAATATGACAGCACCTACCAATTATTAGTCAACAAGGGGTGAAAAATGGCAGCTCAAATTTAGCATTCCTTCATTACAGCATGGCCTGGATTTAACACGTTTCTGCCGTTAGCGCCTCTTCTGTTGTGTGCTCTGTCCTCTGTCCTCTCTCCACTGGCTATTCTATGGGACCCTACCATTTTCCTTATTGACCTGTAATTACAGTAAGAGATTTTCCCCTTGTCATATGAATACTTTTCTTACTTGCTACTTGCCTTTAAACTTGTTTATGGGGGCCGGGGAGATAGCTCAGTAGAATAAGCGCTTCCCTGGCAAGCGTAAGGACCTGAGTTCAATCCCTGGTTCTGCCAAAAAATAAAATAAAATAAACTTGCTCATGTTATTCAGTATAGAAGAATTCAGACGTTTCTAGAGTCAACTCCACTGACCTTTCTTTGGTGCTCCTTCAAGGTTTTTATGCTTAGAAAGTCTTTTCTTACCATGCGAAAAGTTAAAATATACAACTGCATTTCCTCTTTGTTTAAAAAAAAGTTACACATTTTAGATTTAACTCTTTCATCTGCCTGGAGACTCTGGTTTGGGGTTCTCTTGTTTTTCGTACTTTTTTTTTTGGTAGTGCTGAGGACCAAATCTAGGACTTCATGCAAGCTTGGGCAAGTGTTCTACCATGAAAATAACCCCAATCCTTGTATTTCTTTCTCTAGTCATTTCTAGGAAATTAACCCTCAGCCTCCAGTTAGACTTTTTAGCTAGGAGCTACCATGGTGGACTAGGCATGTTAAGAGCCACTGATAGACTGATGTTCGCAAACCCTCACTACGAGCCCTGCAGGGAAAGGCCACAGTGGCATCCTCTGTATCATAAGCAACGCGCCTGTCTAGGGCACGCGCTGGCAGGAGGAGGGCTGACTTGCACCTCACGGTGCATCGCCTTCCTACAGATGATGCAGGCTTATCCTCCTTTACGACAGTGGTGCTCCTTCGTGTACAAGTAGCACTTTTCCAATCACTGTACTGCGTGCTCTAGCA